AGTAGCTCAAGAAGTTGTATTGTCAAAGATTCAGAAATACAAGGATATGTGTGACAACATATCACAGAATACTAATCTGATGAAAGATGAACTAGTTAAGAAAGAACAAGAAATAGAGCGAATTCAACTGGAAAATGAAGAACTACAAAATAGAATTGGCGAAATAGAGAAATCAAAACTGCTAGACTTCCACTCCCCAAACCTATTCAACAACCTACCATTGGTAAACAACAATAACAAGACGTTATCTCAAACAGCGCTAGAAAATCAGGATAAATATAAATTGGTTGATTATAGAAAGAAGAACAGAGAAATACAAACTCTTATTGTGGGTGACTCAATGCTGAAAAATATTGATATAAAACGTATATACAAGAATACACAAATTAAAACACTACCAGGTCGCAAGATAAAAGACATAGATGAATATATTCAAAGGACAACTAATGAGAATATCCAGAACATTGTGATCCATGTAGGAACCAATAACATTTCCGATGGATGTACAATAGAATCGTGTATGGAGGAATATAGAAAACTGATTAACAACATGAAGCAAAAATATCCAACAGCCAAAATATGCGTATCATCAATAATACACAGAAGATATGATGTTAACATAAATAAGAATATAGATGTTCTTAATAAGAAGTTAAAAGTAATGAGTAACAATGGTGATAACTATATCTACATAGACAATGATAACATCAGTTACATAACCCACCTATATGATACTGTGCACCTGAATAAACGTGGGACAGCTGTCTTTGTGAAAAATATGAAAGATGTGATTGGACCACTAATCGGTGTCACAAGACAAATAAACAAGCCAGGATACAGTAGCCAATGGAAAGAAAAAAAGAATAACAGAAGGTATGCTCCTCGTTGCGAGACGGATGGTCACAGACCACAAACAACTTACTAATGGATCAACAAAAACACAGGAATATAAACAGTACTCAAAAGAGAGCATTATCTATATCATATTGGAACATACAGGGAGTTAGTAATAAGCTAGAATACAATGACTTTATAAAGAAAGTTACAAATCATGACATTATTGGACTGGGTGAAACATGGTTAACCACAGATTCACAACACTTGCTTAACATTCCAGAATATTATACTTATTCAGTATTAAGAAAAAACAAATCTAGAGGAGGTATCTCTCTATTAATAAAACAACAACTGAGAAAAGGCATCAGAATTGAGCAGACGGAATGAGAAGATATGATATGGTGCAAACTGGAAAAAAACGTTTTTCAATTAGGAAAAGACATGTATATCTGTTTTGTATACCACCCACCATTCAACTCTAAACATTGTAAACCAGACTTTTTTGAACGGTTAGACAACCACATTACAAACTTTTCGTCCAATGGTACTATTGCCATTCTTGGGGACTTTAATAGCAGAGTAGGTTCTTTAGCTGACTATGAGGACAATGATGACATGGATAATTTCATTCCAGGGTCAAATTTATATACATGTAAAGAAGACATCAATCCCCGTAATAGTAAAGATGAGTAGTAGGGTAGAACTCTTATAGAATTGTGTAAAAATAATGGTATACATTTACTTAATGTTAGATTACCTGGAGATACCAGTGGAAAACTAACTCGTTACCAATACAATGGTGTCAGTACAGTTGACTATGCTATTGCATCAACTGAATTAATAGAAAAAATAAAATATTTCAGAGTGCATGACTTCACATGCAACTCAGATCACTGTCAAATCTCATTCTTAATTGAATGAACAAAAACATCAGGTTAGACTATAATAATATCAATAATATAAAACACTTAAATAATCCCCCCACGGGCTGGGTCTGGGACAGTTTATCTGTATTCAATTACCAAGACAAATTAGCATCTAAAGAAATTCAAAATAATATTAATGAATTCCAAAACAATAACTATTCTAATGACAGTACAAGAATTAATAATGCAGTTAAGGATTTTAATACTATGATAGATAATGCGGCAGGCAATATTTTTAACAGGAAAACTAATAAGTGTGCAAAAGTTAAACATAAACATAATAAGAGATGGTTTGACAAAGAATGTAAGTTATTGAAAAAATATCATTGTATTACATCAAGAATGATTAACAAGTACCCATTTGACATTAAACTTAGAGAACTATTTGACGCTAAAAGAAAAATTATAAAAATATAGTAAAACAAAAGAA